TCTGAGCCAGGAGAAAAGCTTTTCTCCCAACACAAATGTAGTGCCTGTACATGGCCAAAATGAAGATGCCTGAAAGGAGAATGCAGGGTGAGAGTATTCATTAGCACCAGACTTTCCCCCTCTCTTAAGTATGAATATACTGTTGATAAAATAAATATTGGACATATATCTGGTTAACAAGTGTTGCTTCATTATAATTCTGGAAGCATAAGGTATGTTTACTTAGTCTGTAAATTCTTGATTTAGGCTTGTAATTTTTTGTATAGCGTTTTTCTGAACTTTTTAGTTGCAGTTTTAATTTCCTAAACAGCAAATGGAAATAGATCTGTCAGCGTCTGTTGTATCCAAACGTATGTATAAATGTTAAAACTGGCTTGCATGTGTTTATAGTAATGTAGACTGAAGTCTAATTGTGATTTGTTTCATGAAACAGTAGCATACTAAAAGAGTTAAGGAAGGTAAACCTGATTTTTTAGATTAAATACCAAGACTAAGGATTAATTAAATAATATCTATCAAGGGAAATCTGAGGGAAGACCTTTTGTCAGTCTAGTAACAGTAGTTTTACAGTACATACATTTTTTTATGCATAACTTGATTTATCATAAATTTGAAATCTGCCATGGTAGATGTAAATACTTACTAAGGTGTGTTTTTTGAGATTTATTTTTGATGCGTGTAAATTAGACAATTGCTTGGTATACTTTTCCAAGTATGTAAAAGACATTTTCTGTCAGTTGAAGAACAGGAAGTTCCATAAACAAAACTCGGGGGGGGGGGGGGGAATTAAATGTGTTGTTATTCTAACACTAAAACTATTATTTAGCATAGGTTTGATGATCCTGTGTTAGATTCCACTAAAGAGTCAATATTTTGTGTGTTGCTGCTGTGGGTCTGGTGCATCTTTCGGTTAGTTGGCAACTTGGAACTATGGGCGTGAGCAGATGAAACAGGGCCCTAAATTGAAGTGGTGGGTTTTAAAAAACACCGTTTCAATTTAAGGCTGATTAAATCCCTGTGTCATGCACACATCTCACGGACTTACGTGCCTCTCCAGTGGGGAGGGGAGGAGATAGGAGGGCAAGCTGCCTGCAGGTGGAACAGTCCCTGGGCTGCAGGGAGGGGGAGGGCTGGTGCTTCCCTCCTTGGCAGCAGTACCCCCTCCCCCCACCAGGCGGCACCCACCCACAGGCATCGGGCTCGGGCAGTCCCGGAGGGCACCGCAGCTGTGGAGGGAAGCACCAGGCCCACTGCGTAACTCGGGCAGGCAGGCAGGCAGGCTCCAGGCTGGGGGGAAAAAAGATCAGGCTCACTACTTTCCATGGTCGGAGCCTGCTTTTCTGGGCAGCTGCCAGGCTGCCTGCAGGGCTTCCTGCAGAGCCATGGAGCTGCATGGAGCCCGGTGCTTCACTCTGTGGCTGTAGGGGCAGTTTGCTGCTCCCCAAGTCATTTAAGGTGCATTACGCCACCAAATTTCCTACAGCGGCTGGAACTACTGCGTGATGTGCTGCCAAGGCATGCAAACACCAACACCATTAAAGCAATGCAAAAGCATTTAGCCCACTTTAAAGTGTCGTATGCACATACCTCTCGTTTTGTCTACGCATGGCCCATGACTCTTAACTTGGGGTAGGGGAGGGAGCAGAGGAGAAAGTAACAGCGAGAAAATGTCTGTGAATATGCATACAAAAACAGGGAGGGTTCCTCTAACCAAGACCATTGATTCTTTCAGTCAGTCCACTTATCCCATTGCTAAATTGGCATCCTCAAATCAATGTTAAGTTTTGACATACCAGGGTAGGAGGCAGATCGCCAGTGCCTACAAAGACACTTGGGATACTGAGGGCAGAGGTTTTCTTTTAAAACTGTATTAATATCCATCCTAGTCCTAAAAAGACTTTGTCCTACCTGTGTTTGAGGAAGCATTCTATAGAGGTCTGGATGCATTTTGTATTTCAGCCTGAACTGTGAATTTCTTTTTGTACTGTTTTGCATAACCACTATAATGTTTTTCACGTGTCTTGGTGGCTTAGGTTTCTGGGTGAGCATTTTTTATGCAATCTTGCATAAATTGCATATTATAGTTTGAAGTCAACAAAGCCAAGAAAAACTTTAAAAAATGTCTGGGCGCACACATTTATTTCCAAGTCTCAAGTATATTTGGGGGGAAAATAAAATAATAGCATGCAATCTGACTCCAAAAGTGAAAAGAACATTATGAACATTCTAGTTTGTTTTTTGTTGGTTGTTTTTTTCAGAAGCTAAATCAACTTCATTTCTTTTTAGGAACAATATTTTAAAACATTTAATTTAGACCACAAAGTAGGTTTGCAAATTTTAAAGAAATGCTAGTTTGTGAATATTGGCAAAATACAAATAAATAAATGCTTTTTAGTCTCAAATCTTGTAGTTTTACTGTTAAAGAAACTTTGGCTATCATGCCAAACATCAAATTCTAATCACCTGACAATATCACAACAGCACTGTTTAGAAAATGATGACACAAACATAACTATTTTCCACATCTCCACACACCTCACTCTCTTCTCTTCCCAAATATTCTTTTTAGTCTATCCACCCACATTACAGAGATTTTAGGAAACTTAACAGCTTGGTGATTTGGTTGTCTCCTTCCTTGTTAAGTAAGTAATACTTCCAGGTCCAGCAATAGCAAATAGCAAAATGTAAATTTCTTGATGAATCTTTTATAGGCAATAGTATGAGTTAAAAATGAAAACTTCTAACTGTTGAGCCAACAGACTTCGAACAATGCCATTTTTATAAATATATTTAACTTTGGAATGGCATGTTTTCTGATAACTATAGTCATAAAAGGAATCTTTTTTTGTTGTTTTTTTCCATTGTTGCTTTTACTCCTGTAAATTGACAACTCTGTAATTAGAAGTGATTAATGATGTACCCCTGTGCTTCATGGGTCTTGAGGTCAGTAGTCTCATAGGCTAGAAATTCTGTGGGAAACTGGAGAACAGATCTGTTCCTTACAAGGAACAAAAAACCTCTCTCTCTTCAGGATTATTGTTGATGTGTGCATAATATGTCAACCATGATGAACAAAATATCTAAGACAAAGTGTAAATGATCTTTATGCTCGTTGCATATTTGTTTAGCCATCATATTATATGCATTATACACACATTCACTTTTGTGAATTAGTAATTAATATCTACACTTGTTGCATTAGACTTTCCTGGCACACAGTAGTTTTATTAGTAGAATCTGGTCTGTTCTGAAACTAAGTGGCCTTTATTGGAAGGGTAAACATCTTGGACGTATTAAAGTTAAGAATGTTTGAATAGCATTAGAAACCAATTCTCACTTTCATGCTTTTGTGCGAGTGATCATAGTACTAATCTGGGCAGCCCAACACACCTACTTGTATAAATTGTAACCTCATTTAGCTGGTAACCGATTAAATGAAAGGATTCAGTATTTTGCAGTATTTGCACCTCACTTATTAACCTATTAAAACATGCAAGCCAAAGCACTTCTGGAAAATCAGACCTGTATAGTTTAAAATAGCATATAATTGCTTCTTCCTGACTTAATTCCTGGGATACTAGATTTCAGAGCAAGTACCTAATGTAGCCAATGACTCCTGAAAAATGTGGCACATAGCTGTCCTTTCCCCGGTACTTCAAGAAGAGGCTAAAACTGATCAGCAGCAATGTCTGTGAACTCAGACACTGTTTTTTTATAAACAAAACTGTTCTGTATGTAAATGCAAACGTGTGTGTGTGTGTGTGTGTGTGTGTGTGTGTGTGTAGAGATATCTATATAGATATAAACTTTACATTTTAAATGCATGCAATTTAGTTAAGGCCATTGTACCCATGATCTATTGCTAGCATAGCCATGGTGTTGAAAAGTTTGCAAGACTTTTGTCTACTTCATTGCTACCATTATGACTTCCTTTTCCTATCCTCCCCAAACTTTTCCCCATCGCCCAAAGATACTGCTGTTGCTTGTTATTATCTACCAAGGATTTGCAAATTATGTTAAACTTGCCTTTGAGGACCTGAGACCCTATGAAATGCCCATACAACATGACTAGGGAACTGCATAGTTAATGGGGTTGCCCCCCAATTTCATAGGCAGAATATGGGCCCAGTCAGTCATTTTGTGAGTGGAGTGCAGCACACCCCCCACCCCTCTGATTGACTAAGGGGGCCTGGTGGCCCTGCTCCTTGCTGCTGATTGGTGGAGAGGGACTGGGCCACATAACAGGCAGCCTTTACAGCCAACCAGTGGCGAAGGGTGGGGGCAGCAGCCATTTTGCTGGCAGCCCTTTGAAGGAGCAGTCCCCCCATTCCTTTCCCTTTTTCCTGCCCTAGTGAACTAATGCAGTGTTCCGTAAGTTTTTGTTTTTTCCCATGGATTTCATGGATTCAGCAGATTTCATGGAATCCATGAAATCATGAATTTGGTAGGTCTCTAAAGATGAGACTGTATATAAAAGCACCTTTAGTCATTTCATTTGGCTGAATTCCTTCAAAAGCAGAGCTGCTGTTTTAGCACAGAAGAGAAAGTCTGTGCACAGGGTAGCATTCTGTTAAAACACTGTCTGTCTGTTAGCACTAAGTTAAATGAAATTTCCTTTTTCTTCATAAGTAGCTAACAATAAGCAAACTGGCTAATAGCCATAGCTAATGGCTCATAGCCATTAAAAAATTATAGTTAATCTAAAACTTGAACTGTACTTAAAATGACTTAAACTTTACATCACTTACTGGATATATAATCAAGTTTGCACACCTAACTGTGCTAACATTGAGTGGCACCCTTGCAAGGATCTCATAGCAGCCTGGGGCACCACATCACCCTGATTGAGACTCACTGCTCTAAGCATAATGTAAATAAAACAATTCATGTGTGTGAGTGGGGGAAACTTAAAAAGAAAAATATCTTGTGAGTAATGAAGTTGCCAACAAATGAAGTACATATATTTTTTAATTCATGTTTTTTTTTTATTTCTGTTGTAGAGTGGCTTCTACAACAAAACCTGAACCTGTTCCTGTGCAAAAGGTATGTTCCTCATTGTAACTGAAATAAGTACTATATACCACTAACTTCCATCAAGCCCTAATCTTGACATGACTCATTCAGACAGTGCCCTTAGTACCTGCTGTAGGGTTTTCCTAGATGTACAAAGAACAAAAAATCACATTGCTCTTGTTAGGGTGATATTGGTGTATTTACAGAAAACATGACACATTTTTTAAAAGCTGTAAATAAATGCATTGACTTTTAGCTTTTGGTCACCATGCTTTCTATTACCTGACCATCTTTTCTTAGCTTAGTGACAGGCTCTAAGGTAGCCTCCATCCATCCCCAAAGAAAGAAAGTACTGTAGTTTGTTTCCAAGCAGAGACCATGACCTTTCTTTGCATATGAAAGAAGTTGTAGAGAAAGCATTTCCCTTCAGCATTTATCTAGTTTTGGGCAGTGTTTTGAGCATTGCTATATCCCCAAGTATGTCATGGTAGGGTAGAGTAGAGTATATAGGCAAATATTACATGCATTAGGCTCCCTTTTTAAAATGCAAGTATTTGGTTAAAATATTTTTGGGGAGGGTGGACATGAAGATTGGTTTCCTCAGTAGATATAAATAAGAAAATGATCAGCTTGGTGTTATGTGGAAATATATATGGAAAGAAGAAACATTTTCCCACTCCCACTGGTCATGGGATGGCAGGGGGAAGGTAAAAAGACACCCCCCTCCCCCCCGCCTCCCCACACACTCAACAACATGTTGAAATACACATAGGTCTAAAGTTCTGGTCCTTGTGGTGGTTAAACTATGTAACCAGGTTGTTGGTTTTCTTGTGCTCCGAGGTCCTAGTTGAAATTCTTCCAGATCGCAGCCTTTCTCTCTCCCCCTTTTCCCTTCAGATTGTAAATTCCTGGGTTCTGTATCTGGTGTTGGCTCATCTTTTCACCAGATCTTTGCTACTGTAATGCATAGGGATTTCAGCTGCTTCCCCAAACAAGATGGATGCGATTAATAGCCAAGTACACCTTTCTTCTTGTCTAGCATTTGGATTACATCAGTGAAATACTACTTGCTAATGCTTCCAGTGATACACTTAGGGTATGGACAAATGCACTTATCTGAATAAAAAGGGAAGGGGGGAGCTACCTCTCAGGAGCATGGATTGGCTGTTATGTAAGAATACATAATACATCCCGTAAGAATACAGATTAGCTAAATTGTTCCACCCTTGATCTTCTCTGAAGCAAGCTTCAAGTTGGAATGATTTTTTTTACACTGGCATCCCTATAGAATTGTACAGGCACGACACTTGCATCATCATCGCTTTAATTGGTAGTTTTTGATCGTGATAGAGTTGTTATATCTGTCTCTACCTTCAGTCCTTTATGCTAGAGGCCTTTGGAAATCAAGGTCCTTGATTAATTTTCCCAGTTAGCATCCAAGTGGCAGACTGCAACATTGCAACATTAAGAAAATTGTATTATTTGGGTGCATGTGTCCAAATATATTTTTGATTGTTTTTGCCAAGTGGAATTTGAATTTAAAAATTAAAGAAGAAAACCTGGGGAATACAGTAACCAAATATTATTTGAATGTCTTCTGCTGGGTTTCGCATCTGAGTGGGTCTGTTCCTTAACTATTAAAAGTGATTTGAGGCAAGTGAATCTTGAATGAGAAAAGAGAAATCAGTGACTTGAGTTTGAGTTGCTTGCATGTGGGTTGTATCTTTGCTTCCCTTGAATGCATGTCCTATCCTTTTTAAAGCAATAATGGCAGTGAAGTTGGAAACTGGTGTTACAGCTGCAATCTTTTATTTCAAGCCAGTGGGATTACCTTCTCTGCTTCCAATGAAAATGTCTATTCAGGATTTTGCATGTGGTTGGTGTTTTTGTGTGTTTCTTTTTTTTTCGCATAGGGAGAACTTAAAGAAGTAGTTAAACCTGTGCCCGTTGCATCTGCTGTTGCACCCAAAGTAACTTCCACAGTGAATGTTGCCTACAATAAGGCACCGAGGCCATTCGGAGCTATCACATCCTCAAAAGTCACATCCATTCCATCACCGTCGTCTGCCTTCACCCCAGCCCATGTGACTGGTCCATCATCACATGCTTCCCCTCCTCCACTCGCCACTGTCACCCCTCCCCCATTTGCTGCATCTGGACTGCATGCTAATGCAAAATCTAGTACTGATCAGCGTTCACCTGCACTGAGCGCTGTTAAAACTGCAGTTAATATCCCACGGCAGCCCACCACACACAATACAGCCCTGAATGCGCTTTCCACCGGGAATGTCCAGGATGTGACAGAAGGGCAAAGAAGAGGATTCAAAGAGAACCAGGGTGACAGTAAACAGCAAAATGGGTAGGTGGCTTCAGGGCACTGTTTGCTGTAAGGGACTTCTTTTTCAGGATGGTTTGTGAGCTTTGTTTAAAGGGATAAAACGCATCGTGAATAAGTTATGTGGTTTTCAGGTGTCGGCTCTCTAAAAAAGATAAGTGATATCTATTAGAGGACAGTTTTAAGTATATAGGGACCAGCTTATTAGATGAGTTTATCCCACTTCTTCTTTTTGCCATGTAATCTCTACTATCTAATTCCACTTTAAAAAATATCAGTTGTAATCATTCATTTGATGCGTTTTGAACTTTACAACAAACTCAGTTTTTTTTTTCAAGTCTTAACATGGTTAAGAAAGCAGCAGGCACCCAAAAATGGGAAGTTATTTGTCAAGAAGCATCATACAGAATTTTGAAAGCCAGGAATAAGAAACAGAATAACCTTTATCTTGAATATCCTTATGTTGAGTATGATGTACATAATCGTGGGGAAGACAGAACATTAAATTTTGGGCAGGGAATTTGGAAGTCCTGATATATGTATAGGAAGTGTATCAAATTTGAACTGATTCTAATTTTTCAGTAATATAAATGAAAATCTTAGTGAAATTCAGGTACATTGAAATGTCTAAAGTCAGCACAAAAGTACAGAAACATCTTAAAGTATCTTAGCAGTCCAGGTATGTCAAAGAGAAAATTCTAGATATGTTATCATTTGAAATGCTAATAGCTCATCTTGAGACAAAAAAGGGCTTGAGTTTTAGCACTGTAAATTTAAAGATTCGCTGAGCATTAAATCCTGTAGAAGCATGTTTTAAAGTATAATTGTTTGCTTTTATTGTCCATTTTGTGGCTTTCTTTTAACTGTAGATTTCTGAAGCCCAAAAACTACATTTTCATTAACAGGGATTTAAAAAGTGAGCTATTATCAATATTCTTCCACTTCTGTTTAAAGGTCATCTGAA